AGATGTTGTTTAGGTAACATACAACAAAATCATCTAAAAATTCATGAAAGACATCATTCATTAGATGTTGGAATGCTGCTGGTGTATTTGTAAGTCCAAAAGGCATGACGTTGTATTCAAAATGTCCATACCTTATTCGAAACATAATCTTCCATTCATCTCCGTCTTTGATGCGTACCAAATTATATGCTCCTCGTAGATCTATTTTTATATAGATCTTAGCTTGATTCAACTAATCAAGAAGTCCAGATATCAAAGATAGCGGATATCTATTTTTTATAGTGATTTTGTTGAGTCCTTGATAATCAACACACATTCTTAATGATCCATCTTTTTTCTTTACAAATAAAATTGAAGCTCCTTCTGGAGATTTGGAATAGCGTATGAAGTTCTTGGCCAAATTCTCTTCAATATACTCCTTAAGTTCATGCAACTCTTTTTGAGATAAATTGTAGATTGATCCAAATGGCAGTTGTGCTTCTTCTTGAAGGTCAATTGAGTAGTCATAGGAACGATGTTCTGGAAGAGTGTCTGCATTATTTTTCTCAAATACATCTTGAAAAACTTGATATTAGCTTAGAATGCTACTTGAAGTCTTTCCACCAATAGAAACATGTGTGGCATAAATGACACAAGGTGATCCTTCTTTTGTAGCATGCAAGAAAGCACTTGCACCTACAAATATAAGTTTAATTATACTAGACTTATGACTTTTCACTTGATTAACTACACTCTTAGTTATACTTTCAGAAAAATCAAGACTACGAGAAGTTCAATCTATTTTAGGGTTATATTTTTCTAGCCATGATAAATCTAAAATGACTGGATTAGAAGGAGATCTAATGATATTAAATATTATAAAACTACTATGACCATTAGTTGTTATTTCTATACGAAGGGTTTCATGAGTAATATCTCTTGAAGACAACAGACGACTATCTATGACTTCTACATTAATAGGTTTAGTTTTCTTTACTAAAAATATACTATATCTTTTAGTAAATTTTTCATCTAAGAAACATGTTGAGGCTCTTGAATCTAGCAAGATAGAGGCTTTGAGATATTTAGGTCCTAGAATAATATTTATCATAAAATATGGAGAGGGTTTTGAGGAGAGGATAGGACCTTCACTAGGCGTTGTACAAGGTTCCAGCTGCACGGTCCCTATTGTAGCTGGATAAATTCATTTTTCGACATACTATTTCTTTTGATTACCATACTCCTCATTTTATGGTTGCGTCGTTTCTTTGGACAATATTGAGTAGTGTACTTAGGTTCTCCACAATATAAGCACAAACCTTCTTGACAACAATGAGCTTTTTCTTGCTCAGTAAGAGGTTTGAAATGTACTAAATCAATTTGCATATCCTCTACTTCCGAATGTATGTGTTGAAGAGATATTGGTGTTGCTATTGAATTGTAGTTACGTTGAGGTCCACTTGTATGGTTCTCAGATCGGAATTCAAAAAGGTGATTGTCGCACTTCATAGCAAAGTCAATTGCTTGACTCAATGTTTGAGGATCAGATAAGTTGAGCATTAATTTTTTTACCTCATATTCTAATCCGTAGAGAAATTGGCTAATGAGTGCAATATCATTCCACTTAACATCAATTACAAGTTGTCAAAATTGTGAAGCATATAACGTTATTGATCAATTATCTTGTCGTAAAATATGGATCTTATTGGTTGTAATACGAATTGCATCATGTTCTCCATACATGGATCGAAACTCTGCCAAAAAAGCCTCTAGATTATCCAATATTGGATCTCGTCGTTCAAGAAAAGATGAAAACCATAATAATGCTGAACTTGAAAGAAGCATATCAATGAATCTAACTTGCGATCATGGAGTTGGATAGCTTTGGGATTGAAGTTCAATCACAAGTTATACTTGATTGATAAATCTTCTAAACTTTGATTTGGTGCCATCAAACTTCTCGCGTAGGACAATTCTTGGTTATCTAACACTGGAAGGATGTTCCACCATAGGAGAAGGGACATGATTTGGTACAGATGTTGAAGCAGCTCTGATCATTTTTATATCTTTACTTCCTGTCAATCTTATTGCTCCTTGTGGTGGTAAATTGAGTTGATGCATCGTAAGCATTAACTCTCTCAATTGCTCTTGCATTTGTGCCATTGTACTCTTCATTTCAGCAAGTTTTGCCGTAATAACACTTAGAAAAGAGAAGATGTCTAATATCGCTCAAGAAAAATAAAAGAGAGGACTTGAAAACAAGGAAAATACTAAGGACAATATCAGTTTACAAGAGAGTAATTGGCAACTTCTAATATGCTTATGTCTTATCAAGAAAAAGAAGATAATCCACTCGTAATCAAGATTAGACAAAGCTCTGATATTGTAAGTATACTCTTGTCAATCTGTGAAGGACAAGAACATAATAAAGACAAATAAACAAGTAAGACTTCTCTCATAGAAAGATGAAAAAATAAAAATAACTTGATATATATATATATTAAGAAAGAGACTGGAATGGCTATTGCCAAAAGACAAGAAAACTAGAGACCCTTGAAACTAGACTGGAACCAAGAAAGGAGTTGACAAGAGTGAAGAAGGCTTCATTCTTGTCTCTATATATACTATCTAACTAAGGGCTACATGGCGACGTTCTATAAGACTTTCAATATGTGTTGACTTTGTAGGACACATGCCTTGACTTATAAGGCAAGTTTTTCTACATGTGGGCCACATACTTAGCTTGGTCTTCAAGCTAATAACATGTGTGGTACATGGCTAACTTATTGACCACATTTCTAATCCAAAAAGTTAATTAAAGACACCTATAAAGTCAAAGTAGCATCTATGAAGCTTCTAAGAAGCTATCATAGAAGATATTATAGAATTAACTTACTTTTATCTACTTTTACTTACTTCTACTTATTTATATATGTAATAACTAACTTACATGAGTATGTCCGTGACACTTGGCACCTAGGTTTCTATTCTACTTTCTATTGATGTTACAGTGAGATCTATAATGTGAGAGGATAGAATTTCAAGGATTGACAAGGTCAAGGTTAGAAATAGCTTCTAGCCATAGTGCATGTTGACAAGATCTTATCTTCTAGCTAGAGTGTTATTCTAACCTCTTAATTTTGTATATAGGATTTTGATTCTAGCCTTTCTTTTGTTTTTGGATTATAGTATTGGTAATAGAGAAGAAGGGATTTATGGTATTGTCATGGATAAAGCTTGAGAGTAGCTCGATTTTAGTATAGATTAAACTTAGAGAATTGATGTTACGTTGTTTGGCTAAAAAAAGCCCTAGTAGATTATATTGTTTGACAATCACTTTATTTCTTAGCCTTATTGTAGAAAGCTTAGTATTCTTAATAGATAAAGTTAGTAAAGTGAAATTTACTTGGTCTTGGTGGAGAGTCTTGTGAAATGTTGTATGTTAAGATTGGTGGGAAAGTGTAGGCATTTATTGAAGCATATATTGTAGGCCCTTCTGAGTTCTTTTCACCTATTTTTGGAACTAATAAAGAGATATGGTTATTGTGGAGTTTAGATATTTCATTTGCGAATCTTCTCTTCTTTCTAATGGAGATTAATCTTTTGTCGTCTGGTATGGACAAAGTTTATGTGTATTGTACCAAGAAGAAGTTATAATGTGTGTATCATTCTCTTTTTGCCCTGATCTTGGAGCATGTTTATAGATGAGATTGTTAGATTTGCTTTTTAGAGTCATTATGGATGGTATTAGAATTTTTGTTTAAATGGGCTTCTTTTTGGTGTAAGCAATCTCTAATCCGATAGTCAACTTCAAAACAAAATTTACAATAGATTGACAAATTTAAGTAGTTAACAATAACTATTGTCATTTTTCTTGAAAGTGTCTCTTCTATTTCAAGTTTTGTTTTCCATCCTTGGTTGATGTCCAATATAATACAAAACCAAGGTTCTATAAATATAATATTGTATATATCCATCTCCAATAATTGTCCTAGAAATTCTCTTATTTCTACAACAACTATATTAAATTACCAAAGGAGATTCTTGAAAGAGATTCAAGTTCGGATAATCATATCTTTGTTGCACTTAGCATCGAATTACAAAGTCTACTATTAAAAAATGCAAAGTAATTCCATGTTGTGGTATGGTGTAAGCAATAGTATTTGTTGGGCTATTGATTGACTTGGAGTGTAGAAGCAAAAGAAACTATGTCCTATTTTGCAACTTGATGTGATCTTCTTCTTCAGCATTTTGTTATTGAGGTTCTTGAGCCAAGTAGCAAAAGTGGTAAGATTGGATATGTTGCTTATGAAGCGAGCGACTATGACATAGTCTTTCATATATCCTTCATCTATGGCTACCACATCCTTTGACACATAGATTTTTTTATGCTAAGTTTTAATTAGACTAGAATAGAAGCTTATTTCTATTAACAATCACAACAAATGATGTAAGCAATGCAAGAGATATTCAACAAAATATACTACCAATATACAATGTTTGTTTCCACCACACTTGTTAATATAAGAAATCTACATCACTATAGTGCCTCTTTCTTTCACCAAAAAATATAAAGCTCCATTGCCCCACAAAACCTAATTCTAAGAACCTCCTATTAGTACTATATTCTCATATTCATAAGATTAATATTTCTTAAAAGATTTTATCTTTAAAAAAACTTATATTAATTAAAAACTTTAAAATACTAATATAATTAAATATAGATAAATATTATTATAACGTCCAAAAAAAGAATAAGTTTATGAAAAAATTCTCTTTTTTAATCCTCTTAAATCTTCATATTTTATTAATGTCGTTCATCATTCATGTCCCTACAAAAAGAAATACAGAGCATATGATTACTGTAGAATTAGACATTAATACATAGTATTTGCACATTTTTGTAAAATTTTTAGCAAACTAATGTTTATTATAAATATTCATACCTTCTATTTATGGATGAAGATATCTTTATTTTCGTGGCTTTGCATCATTGTCCTCATTCCTGCACATGTGCTGGATCTCTTATTCTTCGTGTAATGCACTTGAGCTCTCCTGTTTTGGTTGAAAAGATGTTGAGACTGAAGTAGTTGTGCTACTTAATTGGGGTTGAGGTTGTGGTTGGAATTAGAGGATTGTTGGAAGTTTTGAGGAACTTGTTGAGTTGAGTGAACGTTTTAGATTTCACCTACTGCATCCGGACAGAAAATCATCTGCTAATTGATTTCGAAGGTCATGAGTTCCAAAGGAGTGAACGAGAAGCAAACAAATTTGACTTGCAGGGAAAACGATTGGCAACGTTGTAGTATCTGGCGTGCGTTGTTGTGAGGGTTCGTTTTTTTGCGATTGTGCGAGACTGCCTCATTTCCTAGAACGTGAAGAGGTTTTGGAGCTGGAAGATTCAACGTGATTGCATAGCGTTTCCTTGACCTACTCATTGATTGTCTAAAATCGCTCGATTGAATTACCACTTTCTCTTTCATTTAATTTCGCGATTCGAATTGTATGTACACTTCCAAAACAGAGATATAAACCCTACCCATATCCTTAAAACTGCTGGTTGATCACTTGGAGAGGTCATGATTTAACTTCGGAGTCAAACATTTTTCCCGCTATCAATCTTCTTCATGACCTAGAGCTGTTCCTTTGTTAGGCAATTGTGGTCATTGTTGAGCATCACTTCGCGGAGAGCAGTGAGGATGAAGGAAGCATTCCAAGTGTAGAGATACATTTTTGACGCTGTGCTTTCCGTACAAAAAAAGCCTACCATTAGAGCCTCTAGACTAGTATCAACCAAGGCATAGTATTCTTTACTCAAATTCCGTATTCATCTGGAATCATCAGAACTAGATATTTTTTTGCTTCAATGTTTAACTGCCCCTGAGGCTCGTGGAAGAAGTTCGCTATGACGGTGTTGAAGATACTTTCCTGCCTTCATGGAGCAGGATCTTCATGTAATTACTTCAACGACAAGCTAAAGCTTGGCTCTAAACCTAAGCATGCTGTCTCTTCAATAGTTGTCTTCCCAACTACCCAAGGGCCTATGAGGAAGTGTCACAAAATACTGGGTTCAATTGGATTCGGACAGAGCAGTTATATGGGAGGGCATGAGAGATTGATCAACCTCAGTATTGGGAGTCGTTCTCAGGTTTTGAAGTACACAATTTTTTTCTCTGATGTCAGTTTAGAAAGCAAAAGAGAGACAATTTTGCATGTAAGAATAGGAGGGTTGTAGTCCGTATGACCTTTGAACTTTGCGATGTTGTGATCAGCCGATATCCGCTAGTAATGGTGACAAACACAGACATTACTTCACCTGGTCTAATAGGGCAACAGTATTGATAATTCATGTCAGAAAGGAGACAAGGTATTGCACTCACTCGAGCAGAATATCTGCCCGTAATGGCATGTTTACCAGACCTCCTGGCAACGATTCATGGCTCGGGAGGTTACTGAAACTCTACAAGGTTCTCGGAGAAGGAGAAGGGGATCTTCAGAAGACCGCAGTTCTGGATATCCATATCAAATTTTCTCTATCAAATCTTAAAAGCGTTGCAGATTCTGTGTGTATGTTCGGTCCACGTTGGTTCAAATTACTGAAAGGAGCTCAGTCTTTGATTAACCCCTCTCTCCAGAGTGAGTTCCATCTCTTGCCTGCTTGCCAGTCATCCTGCTTACGCCTACTTAGCCTTTTCTGCATTGCTGAATTTCGATCGGTTGTGTATTGGCACTTGGGTCTGTTTATTGCTCGTAGATGGTGGAGGAGGGAACAAGGATGGAGATCTCCACAGCCGTTTCAGGTATGGTGGTGACAATGACTCAGACAAGAGCAAAGGAGCCGCCAAAGCAAGAACAACTTATTGATCTATCAATGGTGGGCCTTGGGTGTCGCCTTCACGTCAATATTAGTTTGGGCACTGGGGGCTTACAGCGGAATTCTACAGCGTAGTAGATTATTAGTCTCGCAATTTGAGGATTGTGTGTTATGGCTTGGTTCGATGTGGTGCATGGCAGCGTTTTTTCTCTGGACTGCGCGGATTATCATCTCCTTGATACCAGTCAGTGGAAGCCACGGCAATTGCTGGAATCTCTTCAAGTCCGAGAACGCCCTCTTCGTAACAAGAGAGTTTGTTGCGAACTTAAAGCTCGATGAATGGATGGCACACAATGGGTGGTTGTGCCGAGTTTAACGATCTCGTTGTTTTTAACGTCTGACCTGATATATTATGCGAAGAACATAAATTTTACTTCAGGAGTCGGTCTAGGGATGTCATGTATTTCTCAACTGTTGAAGTCTGGAGTGGGTAAAGCGGCCAGGGTTAGTATATTTTATAAAATTTAATTTATTAATTATATAATAATTATATCTTAATAAAAACTTATGTAAATGAATATCTTCTGTTAGTGTAATTTGTTAGAAACAATTACTACTTTATGTTCAATATTAGCTTTCTCTAATCACTAGAGAAGATAGTATCAAAACAAAGGCTAATAAACAAGTTTGTGTAAAATAATTATGATATTTTCTTATTCAATGAATTTAGTAAAACATTTCGAATTGGCCTATTGGAATAAATTGAAACTAAGTCCTTTGTGTTTGTTTACTCCATTAATTTGATGCCACAACTTACTTCAATGAATTGTGGAAATTCAATTTGAATTTATCCATAGTGTAATTCGAATACGTCATCTAAAAAATTTACCATTTTAATAATGATATATATATATATATATATATATATATATATATATAAAATCCATTTATACACAATAAAAAGATGATTTCAAAGTGGAGTTCAAATGTAACAGGAGTGGGGTTCAAATATTCTGGGAACATCTTGTTGCTCGACTATAAAAACAAATTATGCGTAGTGCAGAATACAGTTGGCCATTTACATATTTTAACCATGAAGAATAGGCAAATAGCGAGCAATCAGAAGCTAGTGAGTCAAAATATAAACAGATACACAATTCTTCAAAGAATGACTCTAATCCACCATTATCACCTTGTGTGATGATAGTACTAATTGGATAGTTGCATGTCTTCCAGATAGAGAGCTGATTCGTTAGCCTCCCAGAATTGGGACAGCAAGAGAAATGTGTGTTAAACGTGTTTCAGCGGTCTCAGGATTCGTCCTCTGCTTCGTAATTGTTTGTCTTTTTTTTGTTTTATTTTATTTTGTTTTGTTTTGCTCTTTGCCTGTCACATACAAATCTAACCCGTTAGACGAGAAACTGAAAATAGTCTCAGTCCATCAGCACAAATCCTGACTAAAGCAACGCATGTTACACAGCTAGTGCAGTACTTTAATGCATGCACAGATGTTAAAATTTGTTCAGAGGTGTATTTAAGTCCCGAAAATCACAATATCTGCAGCGGAAAAGACAAATTCAGTGAGCTTAGATGGTCGGAACTCATCGCCGTGAGTTGGAAGTTGTACGGACGACGCTGGCTGTCACGAACTGGACCTCATGCTCGACATATGTCAGAAGACCTACATAAAGAACAAAGAAACAGGAACGCAGAAGGATAGTAAAGTAGAGACCTTTTAACTTCGTTACTCGCCCACGATAGTGGGTGTCAGCACAGAAACGTCTATGACAGCTTCTTGTGCTTCACGACCCACTCCACAAGAGTGGCCACTGCAAAACCCGTCCCTCCGGTCTTGTCCTTCCAGACAGGTCCTGCAATGTCCAAGTGCGCCCATGGAATATTCTCATCCACAAACTGTTTCAAAAACAAGGAAGCTATGATGGACCCGCCCGCACGACCGCCGGTGTTGACCATGTCTGCAATGTTCGATTTCAACATTTCGAAGTAGCTGTCCTCCATGGGCATCCTCCAAAACTTCTCACCTCCTTTCTTGGAGGCCTCTGTGAGCTCCTGCGCAAGCTCATCGTTGGGGGTAAACATCCCTCCGATGTCGTTACCAAGAGCAATGATGCAGGCCCCGGTTAGGGTTGCGAGATCCACGATTTTGTCCACCTTGAGGTTGTTCGCGTACACGAGGGCGTCTGCCAAGGTAAGTCGGCCTTCGGCGTCAGTGTTGTTCACTTCAATAGTCTTTCCATTGGAGGCTGTCAAAATGTCGCCGGGTCTCATGCCTCCCCCACTGATCATGTTCTCACAGGCTGCGACGACGAAGTTGACTTCGACACCCTCAGGCTTTATGGCGGCTATGGCTTTCGCTGCTCCAAGCACAGCTGCCGCACCTCCCATATCGAATTTCATAAGCTCGATCATACAGCCAGGGCCAGTCTTCAAGTTGTAGCCTCCACTGTCGAATGTCAAACCCTTACCCACAATCGCCAATTTCGTGGTCACGGCTCCCAAAGGCGAATAACACAAGTGGATGAATTTCGGAGGATTGGTGGATGCAGCGGATACACCAAGGTAAGCACCCATCCCAAGTTTTTCGCACTCCTCCTTCTCGAGGATTTTACATGTCATGACATCGCCATGTGCGGCAGCGATGGCCTCGGCCTCGCACGCCATGACGCTAGGAAGAAGAACATTAGGCGGAGCATTCACCAGTTGCTTTGCGAGGATGACGCCTGTACATTGCTGAATGGTTTGGGCTAGCTGCGCTTCGAGGTCGGCATCCGACCCTAAGCCGAACAGCTCCAAGTCCTTCAACTGCGGCTTCTTGAAGTCGGACTTAAATCTCATGTCCTCGAAAGATCCCAACATCACGCCAGTGGCGATCATCGACGCAGCGGTCTTCTTCACCGCATCGGACAGACTCCCGGCATCCACAACTACGACTGCAGCTGAACCAGAATGGGCAGCAGCGGCGGCGGTCGCAATGCTCTCGCCCAAACTCCGCCACACTTTGCTATTCGTCTCAACCTTATCCGACTTCCCGAGCCCAACTAAACCCACGCGCTTGAACCCGCATCCAATAACGCGATGGAACGTCGACTGCCCGCTCTTTCCGGTGAACTCCTCCTCAGAGGCAACCACGCTCAACAGCCCACCAACAAGCGCGTCCAAAGCCTCCAATTCGGAATTCGAGAATTTCCCATCCTCGCTCTTAGTGGCGCAACCCTCAAACACGCCCAATACCAAGAGATCGCCACCCCAGTTCGCCACCTCTAGCCCGGAGCTCTTCACAGCAATCTCAGGAACCACGGGCGTCGCGGTCTTCGTCAACCCGACTTCAGACACCATGGCCTTCGCCAACGTGGATGCGCCTCTAGTCCTCGTAAGGTCCAAGGTAGCGCTCCCTTTCCTGCCTCCCAACAATGTACGTCGGCCCGAGAGGACGTTCGCAACCACTGCAGGACCGCAGATCAGGCCATTATCAAGCACAGGGCGGAGAGAGGGTGGAAAGGAAGGGCAAGCGATGGCGGTCGCGGATGCGGTTGCGGGCGCGGGCTGCGAGAGGGCGGGCAAATAGCGGACGAAGGCGGCGAGGGAAGAGCGATGCGGCGGGCGAGGGCAGAAGAGAAGACCTAGAACTCCCATGGTGGCTGGCTTGTTGCGAGAGAGTCCCCTGCCGTCACAGCAACGCTACCTGCACCAGGCTTCTCCACGAACCCCAACACGTCGGCTCTCCCTCAATTCCAATTTAGGACTCAGTCTCCTCGTCACGCTCCCCCTCCTCCTCGCGCCGCTTCCTCACCACCCCCAATTCTCCATCCCCTCGCGTCGTGTCGCCCCTCGCCTCCTCGCCGCCGTGGGGAACTCTGTTGGGAACGGATAAGTTCCTTTTCGGGGTTGTGTGTGACTCTCCCTCTGCTGCTGGCTCCGCCCCCTCCTGTAGACCTTCCGTGAAATAATTATTCTTAGAAACTTAAATTTAAACTAAAATTCATCTTTAGACACATGTGAAAATGTGCATTTCAAGTATCAATTTTTTAGTATATTTTTTTCGTTAACGGTTACTTGCATGTATATTCCTTACATCTGTTGTTCCTTTTTTATATGTAGTTCTTTATATGTTTATATGTGTATTTACTATATATATTCCTTGGTCTTAAAAAAATAATTATAAACTTCAAAAAAATCAATAATTTTAGTAATTATCCACGTGATTGTTTTTCTGTTTTTGTTTTTGTTTATTTAAAGCCATAGATCTAATAGCTTTTTGAAGAAATTTTTTGAATTAAATTCTTGATGAATTTTTAGAAAATAATTAAATTAGAAATATAAAAATTATATTTTAATTTATTTTTAATTTTTTATATATCAATTGCAAAAGTCTTCAATGGGATTAAAATACTTATTTAAGTAAAAAAAAAGGTACCAAATTTCTTAGCCCATTAAATGTGCTTTATATTTTTAATTTAATTTAATTTTTTATTAAATTACATATATATATATATATATATATATATATATAATAAAGTTGATGTGACCATGCTAAACTTGATTAATATCTTGTCTAATAGTATAAGCATATATATTTATTATAGATATGAAATATTAGCACCAATTTATAGAATAAAATATATACATTAATAACAATTCAAGATAATAACAATTCATATTTAAAAATCCAATATAAATGAATATATTTTATATTAAATAAATAAAATTTATCTTATAAAAAAATTTCTCCTAGGAAATGATGCAATTTAATTAAAACTCAATTTGTGGTTTTAAAAAACAAGAAAGCTACATCCATCATGTTTTTTTAGACATTTGTTGTATAAATAAATATTCTAATATACAAAAAATTGAATGCCATAAAAAATATCAAATAAACAATCAAAATAGAAAATAAACACTATATCATACTAAATAACAATCAAATTCTAAACCAACTTCAAATAACATCACAAATATATCTTTAAGTGTCTTTTAAGTAGATTAAAAGCTCCTCTAATCAACTAAGACCAAAGTGCACATACAATCAAGATAATTATCATAATGTGTTGCTACAACAACTATTTTCATTTAGGTTAGTATAGTGGCAAATATAGGAAATTAAGCAAGGCATTAGAGAAGTAAACAAATGATTGTAAACTAGGTCAAAAGTGCATTCCAAAATACAAATTACAAAGACCAAAATACTAAGCACAAAGTATATTTTTAATTGACTTCAAAATATTTATTTATTTATTTATTTATTTATTTATTTATTGAACTATGGTTAATTTTTATTAATACTTAAAATTTACATTGCATTATTAATACATACCAATAAATTATAAATTTATTGTAAAACATGTAGGAAATTTCAAAGGAATTTTTAATTCTTATTTTTATATTATATATATGAATTTTAAAGCAATAAAATCTCAATACATGCTTATGTCACTCAAAAAGACTACAAAATCACTCAAAGATAATAATATATAGAACTAGAATGGCTATTGTTAAAGACAAGAAGATTAGAAAGTCTTGAAATAAGTCTAAAGAATAAAAAAACATTGATGAGAGTTAAGAAGGCTTCACTCTTGCTTTTATTTACACTATCAAACTAGGAGCTACATGGTGACGTGCTATAGAACCTCTAATATGTGTCTAATATGAGAAATACATGTCTTAACTTACAAGGCAAGTTTTTTTATATGTGCACCACATCATTAGCTTGTACCATAAGCTATCTACATGTGGGATACATGGCTATCTTATTGGCCAAGTTTCTAATCTATCAATCAACTATAAACATGTATAAAGTCAAATACGTATCTATAAAACTTCTAAGAAGCTTTGCTATAAAATAGTATTAAATCTATCTATATTTATTTTCTATCTAGCATTTTTTATCTAAGTAAATATATATATTTGTGACATTATCTTCCCTTCTAGACACAAGTTCTATGAGAAGCAATCATGATATGTTGAAGATGTCGAAGATGCAGCAATTTGGATTTGCTATATACTTTGATCTTTATTCTCTTCAAAGGTAGCTGATAGGTCCTCTCAACCATCGATAGTGTCTCATTCTAAGGCAAAAAGACCACCCTGTAATTTAGTTGTTATTAAGACCTTCATAACTTCTTTAAAAAAAAAATAAATTATAAGACCATTAAGAGTCATTCCTACCTCCAATAAAATCACCAAATGTTAAGAATCACTTTTAAGATCATAATACCAAATGCAATGTATCTTGCAATCTATTCAAAGAAGAACTTATCATTCTTAAGGGTCTTCATTCCAATCATGTCATCATTTTAACTATAAAAACTATAATATCTTTTTTGATAAGTTAGGAAATAATAGCTCTTAAATTGAATCTATTGATTTTTTATTTTTCATCTCCTTTGTTCTACAAACACATAAAATATAAAAAAAGATAGAAAGTAAAATGAAATTATTTTTGAATTACATTTCTCTAATAGTAAAGATTTTTTTTTCTTCATTTTGAATTTGGTGGATAACATTGATGAAGAACATCAACTTTTATTGTTGTATTTATAAGATTTTTAGTTAGTTCCTATGTATGTTCACTAATATCATATCCATGCTAATAAATACAACATTTCAATTTATTTTAGTACTGCCTTGAATCTAATATTCTTTACAATAGGCATTTACATTGGTCTTTTTTTGTTATTGAGTTTCTTATAATTATACCTTCATTATTATATGTAAGTCAAATAAATAATTTGCCAAATCTTTTACTATAAGATTATCAACTTTAAAAAAGTCAAAAACATCAAATTATGGATAATAATTAAAATTAATAAAAAAATTATTTATTATATAAAAAATATATCTTGTTATTATAAGCAAATTATATCAATGATAAAAGAATTGTCTAATTATCTTTTTGATAATTGATAGTTCACCTCAAATATTGCTCTAAAATTTGGTTTATGCACTTTGTTTATCTATCAATTTGAAGATAAATAGACAAAGATAGTTTTATGTCCATCTTTAGAATCTTGAAAAAGGTTCTCTCAACTCTTGATACAAATTGAGTCCTCATGTTTAATATAATATCCTTAAAAAATCCATGATAGCAATATATGTTATCTAGAAAAAACTTAGTTATTTCTTTATTAGTGATACATTTTGTATATGATAAAACAATTTATTATTGTAAATATAAAATCATACAAATCTAAAACTAGAAGATATGTAATAAAATCCTTAGAAATATAAGACCATAGTTGTTTTAAAATATGTAATGATTGAAGATGTCTATTAGATTGTTGACAAGGAATTTTAATCTTGAACAAATATCACATGATTGTACAAAGTTTTTGATTGCCTTTTATATTTACAAGTTCTAAAAATCTTTAGATATTAGATCCAAAGTCTTGTTTTGTTCTTAACATCTAGTTTTTTTAAAATTGTAATGAGCTTGAAGAATACATAATTGTCTTTTATCTTTTGGAATATATAATCATCCTTCAAAGTAGAGTAGCTTATTCTTAAATTTAAACCTAGAAAATACATGAAATTTAGAAGAATTATTCTTAATATCATAAACAAAAAGATCAAAAGACATATTTGATTAAACTTACTTGAAAAATTTTGAATCAAAAATCAATGTTGATTTCATTGCTCAAAGATGAAAATACTCAGGCTTTAAGAGAATTAATCTTTATTGATCAAAAGTTGTATTTTTTTCTTTAAGTATAAGATAAAAACCTCTAGAAAGAGAATTTCACAAATCTTGTTGTTTTTTGGATTGATAAATGATCTTGAAATTAAATTTTAATAAAAGCATGTTTGAATGGGCTTGATAAAAATTCAAATTATATGTTGATATTAAATACTCAAAGTTCTTGTGATCTATAAATATATATATATATATATATATATATATATATATAAAAAATAATCAAACTAAAAGTATCTTCTAAATAATAACACAATTCTTAAAATAAATCCATGATTATAAAAAGCTCTTTATTATAGATCTTGTAATTTATCTTGATTGTTGAAATTTCTTAGAATAAAAAAATATTGAGTGGAGCTTATATTCTACTCTTATTTGTAATAATACAACACTTATATTAAAGTCTAATGTTTTTGTTTCTATAAAGAATGTCTTCAAAAAATCAATGCAATAAAAGATTAGCACAAAAATAAATGTTTTCTATAAGGATTCAAAAGATGCTTTAATTTATTTGCTCTACTCAAGTTTGTTCTTACATTTTAGATGTGTAAGAGGAACTGCAACTTGAAAAAAAAATTGATAAAGATCTATTAATAATTGGCAAATCTCAAAAAATATTGTACATTTTTTATTGTTTTTGAGATCTTCTAATCCATGATAGTTTGAATCTTCTTAGAATCCATTATAAGACCATCATTTGAAATAATGTATCTTAAAAAGTCATCTTGAGTAATATGAAATATACATTTTTTCATCTTGATGTATAATCTTACATATTTTAATTTTTATAGTACTTACTATATATAAAATCTATATTCTTATATATTTTTAGGATAGATTGAAATTTTGTATAAATAAAAAATAATAAAATCATCAAAAAATTTATAAAATACATTATTTATCAAATATTGAAATGTAATTGGTATATTTGTAAGTCCAAAAGATATGACACTATATTTGAAATTCCCATACTTGATTTAAAACACAATCTTCTATTCATTTCTTTTTTTGATGTATATTAGGTTATATGCTCCTTATATATCTATTTTTATATAGATCTTTGTTTGATTGAATTGATCAAGAAGTCCTAAAATTATACATTAAAGATACCTATTCTTAATAATGATCTTGTTGAATCTTTGATATTTCACACACATTTACAAAGATTTGTCTTTTTTCTTTACAAATAAGATAGGAGTTCTTGGTAGAGATTTAAAATAGTATATGAAGTTTTTAGCCAAATTTTTATCAATGTATTTCTTAAATGTAACCAACTTATTTTGTAATAAATTATAGATTGGTCCAAATGGTGGTTGAGCTCTATT